AATATGCGTTTTTGCTGCCTGTTGCAGCGCTCTAGCGCTGCACGGCAAAAACGCATAAAAACGTAACAAACACACACACACACACGGACGCAGAGACACACACATACAGACAACCCCTCGTCAATATGCGTTTTCTGCATTGAATAGATGCAAAAAACGCATAAAAACATGCAGCGTGCCTACGGAACACTGTGTGGCCGCGCGTACCACTAGGCTCTGACACAGTTCAGTAGATTTTTGGAGGTGGATGAAGGTGGCGAGGGCAGGGAGGGAAAGTTTGTTTCTTCAGGCCTGGAGATAAACAATTTCCCTGTTTTACATATCACAAACCAGCCTGGCTGCGCCTGCATCAACTTTTCCATGTGCAGCCCTAATATGCCAGAACTGCTTCTCCCCCGCCCACCCTCACCCAAAGAAAACCCCGTGCAGGGCACTCTACCCCTCCCCTCAGCTGCATAAACCCCAGTTCGCCCCTCCCCTCTCCTCCACAAACCAATCCTAACCGCCCTTGTCATCTACATCCGTTTCCAGCAACGAGCGCAACGCTACTTCTATTGCAACCGGCGTACGACAGTATGGCCGGCACGCAACAACGGGGCAATCGGGAAGAGAACGCGACGCGAGAGTACGCGTTCGGCGCAAACTCCGCTTACGGATGGTGCAGAGGAGTGGGGAGTCGCTACTTCCATCCAAACTTCCCGCCAAAAACAGCCATGTTTCATTGTCCCAACCCCCGCAGTCCGCTCCCGAGCAAGCGTGGTTCTCAAGTGCGGCCCCTTGAAAGTTTTTGACGCGAACATGGCTTACTCGCAAATCAGGAAAGCTGGGGAGTTGAAATTTTCAGGGAATGTTCTTAGCAAATTTACATCTTAAATTTATCAAACTCATCCGCCAGGCGTGAATGATTGTCACGTACAGCCCCGTGAAAATTTTTGGCAGGAAAATTGCTAACTTAAGAACCAGAAAATTTGGAAAGCTGAAATTCCAACGAAATGTTCCCCGTTCAAACACCGCATAGACAATTAGCTTCCCGGACTTCGAGGACCAGTATATCGCACTTTTCTAGCTACTGAGTTGCCGAGCGATTTCATCACAGCACGAAATATTCCAAAAATGCGTGATCGCACGGGCCGATGATTTTCCTTTTATTCACAAATTCATATTTGCTTTAATTTGCTTTATTTTGTAGTGCAGTGTTGGTTTATTTTCCTCTCGCTTCGAACTCCTGACTAGCATCCTTCTTCCCCTCCTAGGTTCTGTCGCTAATCCATGCCTCCAGAGTCGCTTTGGAGCAGCCACCTCCAACCACTGTCACCATTTATCGTCCTGAACTCCTAACCAGCAACTTCATTCCTCTCCATTATTCTAGCCTCAACCGCGCCCCCTGAATTGTATATGGGCAACTACTAACCAACACTTCCCACCCACGTCCAATTCTCCTATTCAACACACTCCCGCCAGGTGATCCAGCCCCCAGACAACGGCAGCGCTACCCAGCGCATATGGCAAAGTTTTAGCGAGCGACGCCGTGAAATAGTGTTGGCAGAGAAGTTAGAGCAGAGCGCTGGAAAGCCCAAACACCATCGATCATCAGCCGAGCCGAGTTTTTGTAATTGCCACCGACACCCCCACTCACGTCCAGTCCTCCCGCCCACCACTTGCGGCGACAGCAGCCGAACCGAGTTTACGTAGTTGCCAGTTTCTCAGTTTCGGATAGGTTGAGTTAGTTGTTCGAGGTTCTTCCGCATTTGGAGGGGAACAGGGGGTTGTGTAGTTTGAAACCCACTCTCAGGTAGAGTTGTTTTGTTGGCAGTAGGTTGATTTCAGAATCCCCGAACGATGGAAGCCATGGATGGGGAATTTTTGGTTCTGTTGCGCGTTCCATACGGCCGTTAGAAGATTGCCGTGCGTGTTTCACGTTTTGGTTGATTCATCAGCTGGGCAGTCGTAACAGCTTTTCCCATGAACTCTTGTCTGGCTGCTGGTGGCCATCGCTCTGGCTGCTGAAGTCATTTTTCATCAGTTTTCTTCCCTCCCATGTTTTAGCGCGGGGATCGAGTTCCCATATTTCAAGCATTTTTTCAGATAAGAAACTGACACTCTGTTCACTGGGCACAGGATCCTCGAGGATCTGAAATTTGCTGTCGCAGCTTGCCCTTCAGACGTGGATCACTTCAAGCACCTGATTGCGGAGCGATGACAAGCATGTCGCGTGCAGGTTGGCCAGTCCCGGCGCGACCTCAGAAGGTGAACACAGCCCCGGCCCCGCCACCGGTCGTCAGGAAGACCCCCGTGAAGGTGCACAAAATCGACCGAGCCATCAATCTGTAAGTATTTTTTTGCTGTGCACTCTCAGCAGATGGGGACATGGTATTATCATTGCCTCGGGCAAACATAGAAATTACCCGTCGATAATTTTCAATTTTTATGCGTTTTTTGCAGCTATGCAAAACAAAAACCCATATTGATAAGGGGTTGTCTGTGTGTCCGTGTGTCTGTGTGTGCGCCTCTCACGCACTTTCATCTCAAAACCTATAAAAGCTGCGAGCCTGAAATTTCGGGAACATAATCTACATGCACGTGCGAGCCCCAGTCCCCAAAATGGGCGCCATCACCCGTGTAGTACCCGCGTACGGGCCCGCCAAAATTTTTTTTCGGGTAAGTTCATAACTCGGGGATCCAAGAAGCTAGAACGCTGAAATCTTAAAAGGATGTTCCTTGTCCAAGTAGATATTAGTGTGCTCAAACCCAGCCCTCGGGTGTGCGTGATAACTACGCACGGGCTCGTCAAGGTTTTTTTTGGCTAGGTTTATAACTCGGGAATTTGAAAGGCTAAAGGGCTGTAACTTTTAGAGGATATCCCCCGTTCACCTAAGTCTCATGGAGCTCAAACCCAGACTCCGGGTACGCGTGGTAACCACATAAGGGCCCGCCAAATTTTTTTCGGGTAAGTTGCTCACTCAGGAGCCTGGAAAGCTAGGAAGCTGAAATTTTAAAGGGGTGTTTCCTGACAGTTCTGGCGGCCAGTCTTAATTTTTTTAGCTAGAAGCATTTGCCGAAAAAACCGGTGCCGGCAGCGACAAAAACTGCTGGGAACTATGCAAAAAACGCATCTTCGTACGGACAGCCCGTGCGTTGGCCAATTATCGCTTATTTCTGGTCATTTTCAGGTACCCGCTGACCAATTATACATTCGGGACGAAGGATCCACAAGCGGAACGCGATCACTCTGTTCAGGCTCGATTCCAGCGTATGCGTGAGGAGTTCGAAAAGATCGGAATGCGCCGATCAGTTGAGGGCGTATTGCTTGTGCACGAACACTCGTTACCGCACGTGCTCCTCCTGCAGATCGGAACAACCTTCTTCAAATTGTAAGCTCATTTCAAGTATAATCAGCAAAATTGATGTTTCAGCAAACGATGGTTGCTCGTAGATTATATATTTGGTGTAAATTTGTGCGATTTTTATGCGTTTTTTGCATCTGTGCAATGCAAAAACGCATACTGTCGAGGGTTTGTCTGTGTGTGCGTCTGTACCGATTTCTCATCTCGAGACCCGTAAAGGCTACGGAGCTGGAACTTTGGCACGTACGGGCCCCAGTTCCTAAAATAGGCGCTCTTACCCGCATGGTTTCCCCGCACAGGCCCGCGAAGGTTTTTGGCGGGTAAGTTGCTAACTCGGGAACCAGAAAAGCTACAAGGTTGAAATTTTAAGGGAAAATTCCCCATCCACGTAGATCTTAATGAGTTCAAACCCAGTTCTACGTACGGCCCGTGAAAGTTGCTAACTGGGGAAACTGAAAAGCTAGAAAGCTGAAAATTTAAGGGGATGTTTTTAGACAGTCCTAGTGGCCAGTCTCAATTCTCTTAACTAGAAGATCTGCCGAAGAACCAGCTCTGTTAACGACAAAAACCTGCGGGGAACTATTCCGAAAACGCATCTTCGCACCGGCAGTCGTTGCGGTGGCCATTTATTGCACTTATATTCTGGTTTGGATGATCTGCCGGTCAAGCTCCGCGGTTTCGCTTTGAAACATGAGATTATGTGTGTGGATGATACGTGACACTGATGTTCAGCATTTACCTTTATCGAAATCACCAAGGCATAAACCTAGTTTGTGAGTATCACGGTATCAAATCGGATAGTCTAAATCCTCGGTTACGTACAGTAGGTGTTTGTTTCAGGCCAGGAGGAGAGCTGAATCCGGGCGAAGATGAAG